CAACTTGTTTGTCAGTAGCTTGCTTCCTTTTAGAAATTGTTCGTACTTAGAGCGTCTCTTGCGTATGGAACCAACTGGGAGATTTCAGTATATTTCTCTTTCTTTTTCATTAAGCTCGTTATATCAAAATGATTTTTTAGTTATTACATGTAAATATTCCGTCATAACTATGCTAGTTAATAATAAAATCGAGAGTTAGTTATCTCGTAATAATTTAATTCTGGTTGTAACACGTCATTTGATAAATAAAAGATTTAGTTTATACCGTATAACATATGTTTCCTACGTCACAATGACTTACGCCAAAAACGAATTATTTCGCTTGAAGTTGCTTTTAAAATATGCTTAATTTGAAGGCATTTTAAGGAAAATTGCCTTATTGTCTTATAATGATGGAAATATAAATTATAAGAAATGAATTTAACAGCTACCCAAGTTATACTGGTATAACCTTGGTTGGAACAGTTTACGCTTGTTATGAACCACTTCGCGGTTTATAAAGCGGAAACTGTCCCAACCAAGGTTATACCGTACAGTATAACTGGAGTAGCTATTAAATTTATTCCTTAAATAATTATTTAGTTACCCCAATAAAATGAATTTCCTATCTTGATTTTATAACGAGTTAGTATCATATAATAATATTTTTTTGATCTCTTTCTCCAGGAGTTAGTAGTCTCGTCACAACGAGTTTGTTATCTTGTTAAAATGTTTCAACGAGTTAGTCATCTTTTTATGATAATTAATCAGCTATCTTGTTCACGAGTTACTATCTCATTATAACATATTACATATGTAGTTATCTCATCAAAATAAGAAGTCTTTTTTATGCCCCCGTATAGAAGATTCGGGGGTATATAGTTTTTGCCCTGTCCGTCCGTCTGTTTGTTTGTCTGCATGTCCGCAAAAATATTAACCTTGCCCATAATTTTTGATTGGTTGGAGCTATGGCTTTCATATTTCCTGTGTGTATTCCTTGTGACAAGACCTTTCTTTGAGTACCACCATATTTGACCTTTTGACCTTGACCTTGGAGTTTGACTCAGTTTTGCAAAATTTTACCAAACTTTAACATTGGCCATAACTTTTGAACAATTGGTGCTAGGGCTTTCATACTTCACATGTGTAATCCTTGTGACAAGACCTTCATTTGGATACCAACAACTTTGACCTTTTAACCTTGACCTAGGAGTTTGACCTACTTTTGAAAAATTTTAACCTTGGCCATAACTTTTGACGGTTGGTGCTAGGGCTTCCATATTTCACATATGTAATCCTTGTGACAAGACCTTTCTTAAGATACCGGGCTGATTTGTTGATCAATGCATTCTTTAAGAAAACAAGATGTGTTTGTTAAACACTGATGCCCCCGTATGGCAACTTATAGCGAAGGTTAAACTTTCTCAAATGCAAATCAAATATGTTGGTACCCAACTGAAGGTCTTGTCCAAATGGATTTTACCTGTGAAATATTAAAGCCCTAGCAGCAATCAGTGAAAAGATATGGAAAGATTAAAGTTTTTTCAAACGAAAGTCAAACGTCAAGGTCAAGGTCAAATGGTCATAATTAATGGTGCCCAAGGAGAGGCTTTCTTACAAGAAATTCAAATGTCATATTTGAAAGCCCTAGTACCAAACATTCAAAAGATATGGCTAAGGTTGAAGATTTTCAAAAGTAAGTCAAACTCCAAGGTCAAAGGGTCAATGTTGTTGGTATCCAAAGTTACGTCTTGTCACAAAGATTACAGATGTGATATATGAAAGCCCTGGATTCAACTGTGCAAAAGTTATAGCAAAGGTTAAAGTTTTTCAAAAGTAGGTCAAACTCCTAGGTCAAGGTCAACGGGTCAAAGTTGTTGGTATCCAAAGGAAGGAATTATCACAAGGATTACATATGTGAAGTACGAAAGCCCTCACACCAACCATTCAAAAGTTATGGCCAAGGTTAACGTTTGGTAAAATTTTGTAAATCTGGGTTAAACTCCGAGGTCAAAAAGTCAAATATGATGGTACCTAAAGAAAGGTCTTGTCACAATAAGACACATGTGAAATATGAAAGCCAACCAATCAAAAGTTATAAGCAATGTTAAAGTTTTTGCAGACAAACAGACAGACAGACGGACGGATGGGGCAAAAATTATATACCCCCGAATCTTCGATACGGGTGCATAAAAATAATTTCTTAAACTTTAACAAACGATATGAAACCTGTTTTTCTAAACATAGAAAACCGTATAATTATCTCTGTTCAAAATTCAAGATATCAATAAGATGTAATGTTATGAAGGTCATAGGATACCCATAATCGGATGAAAATGCATGAGTAAACATTTATTACATTTTAAACAGTGAAGTACTGTGATTTATTTATTAAATAAAAGTGATATTCTCTTACAGTATATAAAAGTATACCGAAATGATATTCTCTCACAGTGTGAAAGGATATCAATATAAGGTACATGTAATATAATTTCTGGCCTGTAATAACATAGAGATAGTAACTAAACCATCTTGATATAGACTAAAAACTGCCATTTTCTTCCCACATATGTTGCTAAAATCCATGATATAATGTTTTCAATGCTATGACGTCTCAACTGCTCAGCCATGACGTCACAGCCTATGACACTGCGGTAAGAAAAAACAGAGGCAAAAGGAAAATCAATGAAAAATATAATAAACAGAAAATTCAATGTTTTGTAATTGGATTTGGAATTTATTTCACTCATGAGACAGGATTTTTTTAAAAAAATATTTTCACTCGTGCTTCGCACTCGTGAAAATATCAAAAACTCCTGTCCCACTCTTAAAATAACTTCCATATCCAATTACAAAACATTGAATATCCTATATTGACATCATAGCTTCTTGTATTTCATTGTATATTTTATTCTCGAAAAATGCAATATTTTGTTTAGGTTTAGGTTTTTTTTTTTTTTTATTTAATTTCAGTGTAATATTAAAGAATACATTTGGGGAGAATGCAAAAATAAGGCTGATTTATTATGAAAAGTGAAAGAAAAAATATTTGTTTTAGCAATAATAAAGACTGTGCAAACAATTTCACAATGCCATCCTTTTTAATTCTAAATAGCAACGAGATGATCAATCTGCACTTTCACAAAAATTAAAATTTACGCAATATCGTTTCTCGATTTCCATTTTATGAGTCTTGTACGGTTGTATGATTCTACAGAATATAATATATAAGGAAATACATATCCCCTTGTGAAGTACAGAGTTTTCCGGGTGATAACTGAAACATGAGACTCCCACTCTGCATTTTTTTTCTCGTTAGTTAGGGTTTAGGAGTTTCCAATCATTTTTTTTTTTTAATTTCTTTTTCAAATTTTGCAAATATTTCTAGGAATTAGAATATCTATATATACAATCTCTTGGGGATCTCATATCCATAATGAGTAAATAAAAATTAAAGTGTGTAAACACTTTTAATACGTTTTTATGAGTTTCTAGCCAACATAGTTTTATCATGTAGAGGAATAATTTACATTGGGATCGATTCTGGGATTGTTGCTATAAAACGGCACGCAAAACATCATAGAAATGGAAATTGAATTTTTAAAAATCTTTTCTCAATGTTATTTGCTTTGCAGGTAAATAAATCAAGAACCAGTATTCTTTACATAATAGGTCACATCTAATCAAAGTTTATCAATACAATATGACATTTTTTTTCTTTTTTCTAAGAACAAGCATGTACTTGTATGCGGTGGCCAATAATATATCTACTAATCAGACTTAACAGTTAAAGTATCTAGAATGTATAAGCAACATGTAATTTGTGGTCGACAAAATGATTACAGACATAACAGATTAAGGAAAGAACAGAAAGACATGCTTTTTCAGATACAGGTTTGTTGATGCATTTTAGAGATATATGTTACTTAAAATGAAGTGGCACATAAGTAGTACATGAAGTAATCCGAAATTGAGGTGGTCGAAAAGAGATATACTAGGATGATCCTTAAGAAAGTGATATTTGTTGTTTTGTTATTTATCAGTTTTTAGTTATTGCAATTGAATATTATGAATAAAGCTAATTTATTCGTATCGTACTGTTGGCGAGAAAGTGCAAAGACAATTTTATCTTATGTCTTTGGAAATAAATATTACATTTAAATAAATATTCAAAGCAATATTCTTTATTTTTAATCCATAATCTTTTTTCTATTTTTTACTCGTGTTACGACAGTACAGTCACTGCGTTGCATATTAAGTTACTTACTCGTTTGTTTTAAAACTTTGTTGTGTATGTAGTCACGGCGGAAATTTCTTTACAATTCAACAAATCGTGATTGTTTTATAATCAGAAATTAAATTAATATATATCAAACAAAATAAAACAATCATTCTAAAAATATGTCATATGCAATACTGGTCCCAGATGTAAACTATTTGTCTTTTAAATTCAAAAATAAAATCATCGAAACAGAACAAAATGTAGACTTGAACTGTAACTTATCAAAATAGACTTATTGACAAACGCAGGGACAGGCAGACGAGGAGAAAACCTTCAGTCCCTCCGGTTCAGTAGGGGACTAATAAGGAATGGTATTAACAGTTCATTTCATATTTAAAAGATAAACAGTCAATATGAATGATCACAACATTAGTAAGGTAATAAATATAATACATAACTGTTATGCATTCTGATGTTAGGCGGGCTCACCAAATCCAGTTTTAATTTCTTCAAATTGACTGAAACATATACAATGTATATGGAGATGAGTTATGCCATTTATTAAAACTACTTTATGAATATAAACAATTGACATAAAAGAATTGAATCTGTACATGTAAGTAAAGTAAAATATGATCATGTCTGACCCCCAAAAAGTGACTCGAAAAAAGTACCTATCGAACGAGAAAATCAGAATATCATAAGAATAATTCAGCAACAAGATTTAACAAAATAGACTATTGCATAAGAAATAATCTTCATATGATGCTTTAACAAAAAGGCAATTAGGATCCATGGATTGGTGGTGATTCTTAAAACCAAACGTGCTTTATTTTAATTGTGTTCAGCGTGCAAATATCAAAAGTATTCCTGGATTATTAAATTGACCACGTGACGCTATCCCAGTACACAACATAATGGCAAATAAAACCATACTAGTTAAGAAACCATTACATAATTCCTACAAAAATATGTATATATGCGTAAATACAAAAATACAATTACAGGCTCTAAATGTACATTACATATAAGATATACCTTTATAAGAAAAATCTAGCAAATTGATGGCACATCAAAACGAAATGGGCCATAAGACTTTTTATTTGTAAATCGCATCCGTATTATGCCATCTAAGGTGAGCCTTTACACAAAGTACTTAAGTAATTAAGATACGTCAGAAATTCTGTATGGCAACAGTTAAACACTGGAGTAACAATATGAAGCTTGAAAGTAATGAAAAAATATCACTAAGCTAACACGTCTATTCTACAAGTCTAATTATTTATATTTCATACACGCCGCTAGGCACTAGACTGTCAGTAATGCAATAACAACTAATGACAATTAACAATTATATCATTGTAAAAGCCATAATTTATATCAAACTATTCTCGTATGAGCAAGCAAGCTCAGTCAAGGAATGGCTACAAGTGATACCCTACAGCAATTATCAACAGACCTCTCAACGAATGACATTTACCATATCGAAAACATTTAAAATTACATAATTTTGAAGAGCGTTTAGCAGCAATTACCCTTGAATCAAAACTTGTTCTTTACACAACTGCTGCAAAGACTTCTATTTCACATAAGACAATCAGGCATTGATTATTTTTTGATTTCAGTTGCAGTTGGATATAACGCCCAAGAAGACAGTCTATGCAGACGATGGTTTCATTTTGTAGCTGTGACCCTTCTCCACATGACGTCATCTCGTTCCACGTTGCTGTTGCTCCTACTCTGACCTCATATGTATCACATGATTCACCCCAAGACCATCCTATAAAAAATTAATTTACAGTATTGGAATAAAAATGTGCTTTCTTCCACGTTGAGGAAAGGATTGATTGATTGTATGTTGTTTTACGTCCCATTCGAGAATTTTTCACTCATATAGAGACGTCACCATATACCGGTGAAGGTCTTCAAATTTTGACCTTTACTCGGCACTCAGGGCCATTGAGCAGTGAGGGATCTTTATCGTGCCAACGCACGCCGTGACACGGGGCCTCGGTTTTTTAGGTCTCACCCGAAGGACCCGCAACTTTCACTTCAAAGTGCCGAGCGCATGGTGAAGGAACAGTTGCTATCCATTTTTTATCGACTTGGGTCAGTCGCAGCCGAGATTCGAACTCACGACCTCCCCATCACGGAGCGAGCGCTCTACCAACTGAACTGCCGTGAACGGTCGTTGAAGAAAAGAACATTGGCCATAATTCCCGCAACTCAACGAATTTCGGGTTACAGGAACGTAGTAACAAAAGAGTGCAAGATGCAAGTTTATATATGGAAAAAGAATTATAATGCAAAATATGTGTTAGTAGATCAATATCAAGCTAAACCTACTTAGAAGAACTAATGTAACTGAACATATCTCAGTCATCTGTCGTTCACGTATCACACCCTATCAAGTAAACAGTAAAGATATTCGGCTATTCTTGAGAACTGCTCGTCACAAATCAAATTGTAAAAAAAAAAAATGACAGTTTTGCTGGCCTTGTGTCATTACAGTTGCTATTTAACTTACTTTTCAAGAATTAAGAATAGAATACAGCTTTTACGACGATGTATTTATGTCTTGTATATCTTATCAAACATCATATAAGAGAATTCCTTTTTGTTCCTTTTGGTATATGTTTTATCCTTTTCAAGGAGGACATGATACAGCATTTTACAAAAAACTGGAGCTGCATGACTGAAAACGTAAAAAAATAATTTCTGGTTAATTTATTTAATTTAAAGTACATGTACATTGTATATACTTACTTCAGTTTCGTATCAGTATCCTTAGGTAAATAAAATAATTTAGTTCCGTTGTATAAAAAAAAGCAGCATGCTTAGTATTTTATTTTTTAGTTAAAGCTGAACATAAAGAGAAGACATTTATCCTTTCCGCCATTTTAGATTTCTTAGGACTGTCGATCTCAAGCTGCTATATAAGCCTCGGCTTTGTACAGAGTTCATTGCATTTTGCTTCGAGGACCTACACGTGAAGGATATCTCCTTCATTGTCATTGTGTTAAACTTGGGTGCGACAAAAAGGCCTTTTGTTTGCTTCTGCCAAAAAAAGTTTTCAAATATATTCGATATCAATTGCACAGGTCAATGTAAAATAATATAATAAACACAAATTCAATGAAATAAAACGTAAACAGAAAAAGACAATGTAAGACATACATATACTACTCGCAGCAAGGTAAATGCAATCAGATGTAACGAGTTTGAAGGTTTATACACCCCAGTGTTGATACAATAGACGGGAGATTTAATATGGCGTGTGCATATTTACGAGTCCTGTTCAGCTTTAAGGGCAGATAATACAAACAAACTTTTTTATCAAAAATCTTGCAAATGGCAAATTGAGTCATGTTCATATAATTAGAATGAATAATTTTACCGCACAGATTTTAATCTTTCATTCGAAGTTTAACAATTATGGGATTTGAAGTGACGAAATCTTGTATAGATTAATAAGGATGACTGCAGAAAGATAGAATTTTGAACATCAATGAAAGTTCAAAATTCTTAACAATTTAGAAAGGGGGAGTTTAGATAAGGCCGTTTTTCGGCCCCTCACGAAATTTTATGAAATTTTGATATTTTGTAGGAAGACTCCTTATCTTCCTAAAAATATGACAATAATTTATGTTACGCATTTTCCGGTCACGTGATAATTGAAAATTCGAGTATACTCCCTTTCGTATATTTTTGGAGTAGACATTTTTATAGAGGGAAAATGGATTTTTTTAACCATCAAAATCGTAAATGAAATAGGATTAATATGAATAAAGACATAAATTAACCAATTTCAACATTTTTTTTATACGGAAAATGGTAATTCTCTTATGCGAATGTTTTTTTAAGGTGCGATATTCTTCTAATGTGTTAAATGTTACTTTTCTTTAAAGGAGGATGAATTTAACATATAAAACGTAAACATATATAGAAACTTTTAACATCATAATTAATCGACAGTTTATACATAAACTTTATAATCAATATTTAACATTTTCCCATACGAAAAATGCAAATAAAAGATATGTAGACATGAGATAGGTAAATGTAAAAACGTCATATACAGGTATATGCGATACATTTTCATCAATGAGGTTATACAACTACATGTTTTATGAAAATATACCTTTATATTATAAAATTGAAATTAAATAAAATCTTTTGAAATAAAAAGATTAAACAATGAATGCAACTTTAAATACATACACAAATAAATTTTAGTTTATTTAAAAGCATCATATTGCTACGTAAGCTGGTACATTTTAGGTGAAAGGTAAGAAATATTTTATCTGGCGGCCGCCACATAATTATATGGCAGCCGCTAGAAAAATATATCTGGCGGCTGCCAAATAGTTTTCTTGCGGCCGCAACATAAATAACTGGCGGCGACCAGAAACTTATCTGGCGACCGCCACATAAATAACTAGAAGCCGACAAATAAGTTTCTTGTGGTGTAGACATATAATCTAATAAAAAAATAATAAATTTAAAGTTATGAGGTGAAGACCTTATGAAGTGAATTTTTGTATAAAGTGTAGATTTGATCTTTGCTAAAAAGGCTTGAAACTCCCAGATTTGACTAAGTTGTTGATGTCGTTAGAGGCAGAGATTTTAAGCACCGCCTTCAAAAATACTTGCTCTGTGTACCTCTGTCAATCAAGAACATTAAGGTATATCACTGGGTGCTACAACTTGATTGGCAAAAACACTACAATTTTATCTGGCGGTCGCTAGATATTTCAATGGCAGGCGCTAAAAACTTATCTGGCGACCGTCAGATAATACATTTTTTACCTAGCACCTACCGGCTTCAGTATATTGCAATGTATTTGATAATTATGAAATGATTATATAATGATTATGAAACTTAGAAGTATTTGCCCGCATAGATCAGAATTATATGTTTTCAGCATAACTGAGAGAATCCCAGCCAGGACTAATTTCCTCTCGCTTCCAAACTCTCCATAGATACTTAAGTTGCTTCACATTGATTTAGAGAGTTTTAGAATTCGTTATTTATGATTTGCTATACCAGAGCGCAGTTCAAAATACATGTGTAAACGCCAAAGATATGTGTTTAATCCTTAATCAGGCAGACATATGCGCCTAGACACCCAGACTTAAAACAACCCACGTTCCCTATATCAACCACACGGAAATATATGGGCACTTCTCTAGCATGTTGGAGCATGGATTTCTATTTACAAGGAAATACATATTTGTTCAGTCAGTCGTAAAATGTAAGAAAGATCCAGCATCTGAACCATGCCTGGTAGTGAGCAATCCAAGATGCATCATCAGTGCAAGTTTGGTCACGATAGGGCTTATAGTTATGAAGACCGATACCCGCTTCAAAATCTTTAACCTGCTCACTCATTTAGGAAATGTAGGTCATATCCAGCATCTGAAGCAATCTAGTACTGTACATCCGAAGATGCATCAGGAAGCAAGTCTGATCAACAAGTGCTTACAGCTGCTCTCTCCGAAAAGTTAAACCTGCTTTCAAAACATTTACCTGGACATTCTTTAGCTGAAAATCCAGCATCTGAAACCTGACTGGTGACAAGGAAACACGCTGGATCAGGTGACTCTGATTAATATCTATTAGGGCATACATATATTTGGAAAAAAAATCTTCTTCAAAAACTTTAACCTGGAACACGGATGCCGACGGAATTACAAAAGCTCCCCCAACTTCGAGGAGGTGAGCTAAAAATGTGACGTTAACGTTATACGTTGGCGACAAAAGAGTATCAAAATGAAGATAGGATACGATAATGTTTTCTACTGTTAAAATAATCGAGAATCTTCTTTGATTTAAACAAATATGCTACTTCTGGCTTGGTATTTTAATACAGAGTCAGATCAAGAAACCAGGAGGTTCTAATTTTAGATATGCAAATTTTATGCAATTTTCAATTTTTTGATATGAAGTGCACACGCGACACTCATTATATTTCAAGAAATTAGTGTGCAGAGTATATCTAATTACTGAACAAATTTAGGTGAGTGTCCCTCATGCACTTCATATTCTAAACATCGATTTATAAATGCCACCCTCTTACATTTTCCCATAAGCCTAATGTTAACGGATTTGAGGGTACATCTAAGTACGTATCAGCTACGGTGTGAATTCATCTCATATTAGCTTTTGAAATAAAAATAACAAAAGTTAACATATTTATCTTGAATTCTAAACTAGTTTTGAAAAAAAGAAATTGAAATTTATTTTTATGAAAAGAAGTGGGCCGCTGAGCGGCCTTATCGAAACTCCCCCTTTATTATTCGCATCATTTGCAACGAAAATAAGTCAAAAAAGGTATACCAATCCGGGCATCTATTTTTTGTTTGTATCATCTGTCCTTCAGCAGATTGTTATCAGCGTACGTACCTCAGTGCCATATTAAGTAAGTCACTTCTTTGTAAATGAAAGGAATATGTGATATGCTTTTAAATATTACAATCTGATTATGTTGGTTCAGTTTTAGCGTAATAGGCAGTTGTGTTATCTAAACATAATTACGTGTTGCTGACAACAAACCCAATTTAAATTGATGCCAATTTCTATTAATAGAGTGACTTAAATAAAATCAAAGCTTTGTAGATTCGAGATACCTTGATCAAGACCTTCAGACATTACTTATTTCAGCAAACATGTCGATACATGTACAGCAAAGTGGCTGACAAGAATACAAAATGGGTAGAAAATACATATTAAAACTGATCCTAAAATAAGATTGCATGGTATGTGTATTTCTCTGGGATTTTAATTTCTATTATATTAACTGTTTCAAATTACGATGAATCTTAAATATGTTATTAAATATCCTACCGTGGAAAACCAGTACATGATCAATCTGATAGATATTGTTTAGATCTATTCTCATCCATGGTTGACTTTGTTGCTTTGTTGCGGCACAGTATGGACGTATTGCTCTTCGCTCGCCATCAGTTAATCTCACTGGACTGTGATACACTGCGTAATCTGCATACACCGAACTGGAGGTAGCAAATTTGTTCTCTGCGATATTTTTAAAAGTTGATCGGACACCTTTTTTAGGAGAAACAAAGATATATATTGAGAGAGAGAGAGAGAGAGAGAGAGAGAGAGAGAAACTGATCCTTAGGCAGTTGACCTGATTTTAACCACACTTCCTTATATATTATAGAATTCGAATGCCGAGTACGTACTGTTTTACAATCGTTGGTTGCTTTTTTAACGACATCGAAAAATTGTAAATAATGTATAGTATACAAACCTAACGTTATAAACACATTTATTAAATTTAACTTTATTCTTTATCATTATATTTTTTCTTTCAAAATCCTATATCAGAATACTGCGTAAACTAAAGATTTTCAACTCAAATTGATCTGCCCAACCATCGATTTAATTTTTTTTTTTCAAATTGTTCATAAATTTAAATACATATGTATATTTTTCTTTTTTAACAAAGTATTTCTGAATTTTAATCTCCAGGTTCAATGCTAAGTGCAGTATTAATAACAGTTACGCACGAGGGTTGTTCTGAAATTATTGAGACATTTAAGGATATCCGCTCCTCAAAAAGGAAGGATAGCTCTAGAAATTGTCATTTAATTAAAAATGACTCGATATTAAGCTTGAAATTCAAATCTGTTTGTGCAACAGTTTTCATTTCATGCAACTCAATATGATTCAGGGTTCTTTGAAGTCTAAACAAGATGTGTTTGTGAATCACTGATGCCCCCGTATGGCAGCTTATAACGAAGGTTAAACTTTCTCAAATGCAAATCAGATATGTTGGTACCCGAAGTAAGGTCTTGTCTTGAAGAATATAACCGTGAAATCTGAAAGCCCTAGCAGCAACCACTGAAAAGATATGGAAAAGGTTGAAGTTTTCAAAAGTGAGTCAAACATCAAGGTCATGGTCAAATGGTCAAAATTAATGGTGTCCAAGGAAAGGTATTCTCACAAGAAATATACATATGAAATATGAAAGCCCTAGAGGTCAAATGGAACTTACAACTGACTTTCATTATCTGATTTCGTGACTGCTCCGATTAACCCTACCATCGACTCACTGATACATCATAGAAAAGAAAAAAAAAATAAGATAGTTTTGATTTATTTCTTGCTTTTATTTATTGTCTGTGTTTGTTAAACGTATATGCAAATTTTCACCTAAAGACGTTCATTAGAAAGGAGAATAAATACAATGTCTCAAAAAAATTTCCGAACAGCCCTCGTACATAATTTCATAAAGACAATGCTACAGAATTTCCCAATTTAAACACCATATCAATGACAATCAAAATTGTAATTTCATAATCTCACCTTCTGTCAAACACACTTTATCTCCTGATCGCATTGTTACTTGTTCGCATATTATTTCATTACATTTTCCTGGCAAAGTTTTCTGCAATAAGCGAAACATATGAATAACGTTTTTAGCATTGATTTATTATTTTCTGTTCAAGAAAAATACATAACCATTAAGTGTTCATATATATATATATATATATATATATATATATATATATATATATATATATATATATATATATATATATATATATATATATATATATATATATATATATATATATATAAATGGCCAACGACAATTTCTATTATTCAGGTCGTTGGTCATTTTTAGTGCTTTATAAAAATTTCCATCCTTGACCTTGTATCTATTTAGTAGATCCGACACTTAGGATATACAGTTTTGTTGGTTTTTTAGTGCTCTCTCTCTCTCTCTCTCTCTCTCTCTCTCTCTCTCTCTCTCTCTCTATATATATATATATATATATATATATATATATATATATATATATATATATATATATATATATATATATATATATATATATATATATATATATATATATATATATATATATATATATATATATATATATATATATATATATATATATATATATATATATATATATATATATATATATATATATATATATATATATATATATATATATATATATATATATATATATATATATATATATATATATATATATATATATATATATATATATATATATATATATATATATATATATATATATATATATATATATATATATATATATATATATATATATATATATATATATATATAGTTTATTATTATAGCAATATCGTTCTTTAAGTAAACGCTCTTTTGCCATGGTAACACAGCAAAGTGGCATAAAATTCGTTGCTTAGATTTGATTTTAATAAAATTTCCATCTACATGTAGTGATAAGACATCTACAATCAAAAATACGAAGTGAAATCTTTCAGAACCTGTAAACTCAAGGATCATCAAAATAAGAAGTTATTGCTACATTAAGGCTACAAAGGATACAACATATTGAAGATGTAAAATAATCATTGCTTACTGTTTTGGTTACCTTCTAATTAAAAATATTATATCTTAGTCACTTGATATTATATTAATCTAGTAGAATAAAGTTGAACAATATATGATAAAGAAAATAATGAAAAAAAATAAAGTTGTTGCTATGATTACCGAGATAACAGCAATATTCTACAACATGTCATAGCTCATTATAAGCTCCAGTTAGAAATTGTGAGGAGCCAGGGTTGTTGTGATAAATATATATAATCTGCATACAAAACTAATAAAACTGAATATTTAATTTTTTAAAGACATGTTATGCATGTTTTTCAATATATTTACCATAGCAACTCTCTTTTTTTAGAGACCACATTTTTAGACCACACCACTGCCTATAATATTGCTTTCCAGTTGTATGGAATTGAATTAAAAAGAATAAAAACAGAAAAAAAAAACTTGCAGAGAGTTAATTATAATTGAAAATTACTTTTCAGTATTATTGCCACCGCAATCCCTGTTAATCAAAGATTTTTTTCTTTCTTACAATATCCAAATCATAATTGCTATTATTTGTTGAATGTTTAACAAAACAAAATAAATATTAAGAAATTATTGCTTTTCAATACTTTGTTTCCGGGGAAAATTTTATAATACAATGTAGTTGTTTTCCTAACATTTTTTTTATTATGCATACAAGACAAGTTTTCGACTTTTGGACACAGTCATTGCCACTCTTCTGCAATGCTGTAAATATTAACAATGGAACTCAAATATGTCCAAATATGTTATTTTTCAAAATTTAGGCCACGTTGCCATGGTTACCATTTTATATAGCAACAAATTTTTTGGTTCATACGAGTTAATGGTACATGTATCAAATTCTTTTATAATACATGTAACAAGTTTGAAGAAATTCTTTGACTACGTATTCCGCGGCTCATATATAAGAGTCAAAGTAATTACAGAGAATAAATCTTTCAAACACTCAATAAAATCAAATGGTTTGTATGCGTTCAAAATTGTTTCCATGGGAAAATTAATCACTAAAAATACTTTTATAAGGTCCATAATATATATTTTAATTTTGCTACACTGCAATTTTACGAATAAATTTGAAATATTTCTTACTGCTGCACATAAAAAGCTGCCAAAATTAACCTTTGCTGCCTTGCTGTTTTGGCGAATTTTCTGTTACCATGGAGATAAGTAATTGTATTATAGTAATTTATTTGCTAAGAAGTCTGATTTATATTCTGTCACTTCAAGGTTTGTTTCTGGTATTTAAGATAACAATTTATGCATTTTTTTTTTTTTTTTTTTTTTTTTGAACACTTTATAATTTTTCACAGTTTATAAAAACATCCATTATTGTTGCTAGCAACGGACACTATTTAAAAAAAAAAAAACTAGGTGTTGGAATTCAGATTACAACAGTGACATTACTATACTTTTATATGAAATACATGCAACAGCTGTATTTTTTTTAATCCATAACGTTGAAATATTCTTAAAAGGTTTCCTCAACTCAGAATGCAGATTTATTTAAAGATTGGAGTACCCCTGCTGAGCATAAAAATTCCGAATTGCCCATAACTGGTAATCATGACCAAAGTGCTTTTCGAATTAAAAGAGCATAATTGTTTATAATAAACCTTCTGTAAATCATAGAAAATGGGCATACGATGCAGATCTAATAAAAAAAAAAAAACAATTTATGTAACTAAAAATTACTTTCGAAGAAAAACATTAATATCATAGAAATGATTCTGTTTTTAATGAAGGGTATTTCGAAAACTTGAATTCTAGGAAAGGATTTATTCTGCTCTTTGATAAGTGGATATACTTGTACATGTCTTTTTTATTAATTAAATAAACTTTCTTAAGAAATATATGGAAATAACGAACAATATTCAAGCTCAAAAGTCCATTCAAACAATGCAAATCAGGAACAGAGCAAACATGGACCTCTAAAATATCAGAGGTTGGATCGTGTGCCATGGAGGAGTGAGAATCCCTTGCTGACCGGTCACACCAGCCGTGTGCTCCTTGCTATGATCGGGAAATAACAGGGAAGTTCGATGCAATTAAGTGTGTAAATAATGGCCTAACAATTATTATGAAAGACGTCAGTCAGCATTTGACTTCGATTGTATTTGCTGACAAGGTCCTTGAATCGACCATAGAACTTACAAAATGATGACTTTAAATGAGACTGCTAATATTCTTGTTTCATCAACTTAGAGCATGCTCTTGCATATCGAATCAACTGAGAGATATATAGTTTTACCCATCTCCATCCCCTCAATCTTCCATACCCCTTGTTTTCATATCTCCGAATCTTGTAAACATTTATTTTGGTTTTGTTTATTAGAAAAGTTAATTTCCATAATTTCCAAGCACAATTTTTGTATGTCTCAATCATATAAGTGTTACACCAAAGATTTTGTGACTTTGAAACCCTGCAGTGTAAGTAAACTTTCATTAGTCATAAATGTTAAGTTCTTTAAATCGTGTTAAAATGCACACCTTGTAATGTGGAATATTTCAGTGTTTTGTAGTAATATAATATTCATGTGGTTTGTGTTAAAAGCATTTTCTGAAATTTATACATACTTGTATATGTAAATTTGAATTGATAATTTTGTTTATTTCTTGCTGAGTTTTTATTGTATTTTTGCCTTTATTACTTTTATTTTGATTGCTGTTCAAAAGAACAGTGGCTGTCAGCTATCATCCGCAACTGTACTCGGCAATGCTGGTACCGGACATCCATGACTGTACCTGCTCACTAATATCAAAAACGGAATGTCAGAGCAAGATTTTCCGGATTGTTCAAAGTTGTTAATAAAGTATGGATTGTTTTTTAATGAAAAATACGAAATATGTTAATATGGAGGTAAGGAAATTTCTGATTTTAAATAAATCTACTCTATGAAAGGCTGTAATCGCCAAAACGGTAACGATAACTAGCTTAGTGAATATATCGCGGAAAATATATGTAAGCTTGACTATGCCTAAATCCATTGCATGGATCGCTATAATCTATAAAAAAAGTAACATTTACTACAGCGTACATTTTGTATATCTATGACTGTATACCTGTGCCTGATATACAACATCTGCGACTGTACCTGTGCCATACATACACACTACCACTGACTCAACCCGCGCTTGATTAATAACACCCACAACAAAAAAATTCTATGGATTTTCTCCGATTTAGATTTAGTCAATCAAAGCGCAAATAACGCTAATCTTTATATTACCCATGACAGTGATACCGAGACAAACGATATCAGCAGTGATTAGGGAAGGATCCAAAACTTTTACAAATTTAAATTTAAAACTTTATGTTCAGAGTACAATATGAGCCTGGTCTTTAATTTTTGGGCGGTGGGGGGGGGGGGGGGAGAGCAAGATTTCAATATCCTATGTGCTCAATAATAATGATGAATTTAAAATGAAACATGCTAGTATAATTACAGAAAATATACGAGTAAACAATAAACAAAGTAAAATAAAAAAGGAAATTAAAATAAATATTGGAATTAATTTGTAATCCTTAATTTTATGTTAGAAAGTATAAGTACGTCACAATATTATTAATTTCACCCATTTCATTGATCACGCAAGTGGTGTCAATGAAAAACACAGGTTTCTCCCCATAAATATATGTCTTAGTATATATACGGGTGGAATGGGCTGATTCACGCGTTTTCAATGCGTTATATATAAACATCTCAAGTGCACCCCAGGAAGTAGCCTCCTATGCCCTAAAAAAAGAATAGTTCCTGACAAAAAAAAAACTTTATTTACTTACAAAGTACATAAAATTTACTAGACACAGGTATCAAAGTTGTAAAAATAGGCTGCCCCCCCCCCCCCAAAAAAAAAAAATTCTCAAAAGAAATAAAAATTAATTTTATATGCATGGAACAATTAACATCTTGACTGGTCGATAACCGTGGTGTGATACCTGAAATATGTAGGGTATGGTATTAAAATAA